AGGCACCTATGCGTCTTAATAAAACGTGCTGTATTAATATTGACCGATTTCGAGGGTGGAGAGACACTGTGCGCTCGTGCGCTCGTGCGCTCGTCCGACTGTGCAGTGGAGGCTGTACAGGGCTGACCGGGCGGGGTTGGGTTGCGTATGGGTCCGGGGGGTGATTGGAAGGTGAGTAAAAGGTTGTTGATGGGTCGGCGGCTCGCAACAGTCGCGATAATGGGAAAATAATGGCGCTCCGCGTTCATCGGTATTCCGAAAACTCCATTATTGAGTGGGCCATTGTGGATCTCTCTCACTCTCTCACTCTCTCTCTCTCTCTCTCTCTCTCTCTCTCTTTCTCTCTCTCGGGCCACACCTAATTACCGTAATTGGTCGACGACGTCGCATTCCGCGGGCGGGATCTGAGTCTCCCAGGGCGTCGACGCGGTGCCTTAATGCGAATCGATACACCTGCTCGCGTGCCGACGCGCGCTCCCGTGTATCTCCATGGCTCTCGGTCACGCGATCGCCCAGCCGTGAGAATGAGCAATACGCGGTCCGCTCTTATTTTTCTCGTAATCAGTAGCTGATTTATCAGTCGGCTAATACGCAGACCCGCGAAATCACTGAGCAACTGTTGCACCAACAATCCCGCGAATACAAAGCGAGGAAAGTCTTTTCCGGCTACTTCGTAGTTTGGCTGACGGAAGAGGGAGCCGACTAACCCGTTGCTCCTTGGATATTGCACGGAGAACCAAAGTGGCTCCTAGGAGTTATGGAGTTACGGAGGGAGCTGTCATCATCTTCGGCCGAAGTATGCGTGTAACAAGATCGTGTTCTTGATTAGTTTTTTTTTTAAAGTTGGTGCTTGAAAGTGACGACGAGAATTTGATTTTGAATAGTATGCTAGAGTCATGCATCGAAAGTGGTTTTTCCATGAATTCCGAAGCATCACCTTGAGTATCTACCTTGTATGCATATATGTATGCGTGTTGTGTTAGGATGAAAAATTAGTAGATACTGATTCTATCGGCAACGTCGGGTCACTCTTTTCCGCGGTTGCTCTCTTTTCCGACCGAGGCATTTTCCACGACCAAACGTGCGAATTCGCCGACACGAGCCCAATGTACCGGCGGCCATTAGTAATAACGATTTTTATGCAAATAAGGGCCGTCCACTCGCTAGTATCCATTCGCATGAACATCTCATGGAGAGCGCCAATCAGATGGAGTGAAAGATATATATATATATATATATATATATATATATATATATATAGAGAGAGAGAGAGAGAGAGAGAGAGAGAGAGAATGGGAGCGTTTTTACAAGATTTATTAGGCGCTCGTTACCCAAATAAATATTGATCGACTTAGAGATTCGACGGGGCAAAATGGGCGTTAACGTGAGAAGTACACTCGAAGCACTCCCTCATTAATACGTAATAAGTGCGGCTCCTGTTGAGGTGCATAACACTTAGCGGGCGCTCGATGTTAATCTTCGACTTTTATGGCCAACGCGGGCCGGCGCTCTTTTTTCCGCTTTATTTACATGGGGCGATAATGTAGCCGAAGGCGTCAGTGGTGTGGATATTCGTCAAACGGCCAGTGGCAGCGAACGATCATGGCCGATAGACTCATAAATCTATCGGAGGGCAAAGTTGCGAGGTCGCGCGTCGGGTCTGGCTTTTTCAGGCCCAATTGACGGGCTCCCGCGCGTATTCGGAGAATCACGAGATACTGTGCGCGCATCTGCGGCGCCCCTTTGGCCTCTCATTAAGTGGCATCGTTGAGATGCGCATGCGACGGCGACGAGTCTCGCGCGCCGATTCGGCGCCCACTGGGTGGTCCGGGCGCCCCGGGAGTCGATCTCGTCGAGTGCGTTCGAGTAGTCCCGCGAGCAGCGATGCGAATTGCCGTTAATCTCGTTACCGGGGGCGTCGATGCGCTCGAACCCTAATGACCGGGCAAGGCGAGCCACTGCTAATTGCACGGGATTTGCGCGAGGAGGACTTTCGGAGAAATGTCGGTCAATTCAGGACGATGACTGTGGCCCCATTTAGATGGTTGGGCGGGGGGGGGGGGGGTGGTGGTGCGGTGCGGAGGTCTGTCGTTTAAAATCGAAACGACTACCCGGAATTTCATCTTCCGCTTTAATTTCCTGGCGATTGATGCGTCAGCTTTTATCGCGTCCAAGTTAGTCGTGAGATGGCGAGGCGGCTAGGCCGTTGAGAGTCAGGGATCGTATTTATAGAGAAATAGGGTTCGTCGACGCATGAGGCGTAATTTTTAAACGAGTTCCATTATTCGCTCGCTTCCTCAAGAATTATTATTCATTAAGACGAGCGTGATATAAAGTGCGTGCTTGATCGATCATCGTTAAACGCACCTCCTCACTTCGCGTGGTAAAGTTATTTTTAACAGTCCCAATCGAGCTTACTTAAATGCTTATGCAAAAATTTCGGACCGCTAAACTCTTTACTCAAATGCAATTGATGCCAATGCGTCCGCGCAACAGCCCAATATTATCGGCCACTTTCTCCGCACTTTTCATTAACGTCCTTGAACGAATGAGCTTGATCTACTGTGCAATCGATATCGCCCGATAAATGAAACGCGATGCTTTTATAAAGTTAATAATGATCTAAGGCTCGAATGTTGAATGAAGATTGCAATCGCCGATCCTTAAGAGGACTAATATGAAAAATATACGAGCCACGTATCCTTGTTGATATGTGATATTGTTAAGACTCGTAGGAATCGTGAAATATTCAATTATCGTAACACCTCTAGTAATTTTTCAACTTAAGCGAGCATTGTCAATGTATGTCTGTTAATGTATACGAATAAAGCATCGTAGAGTAATCGATAGGTTTGCTCGTAACGGTTTATACGATAGTCTGCAAATAATTTATAACTCGCCGATGTAATCATCGATGTAACCTCGTAATTGTAATTCGCTACGCCATTCTCGTTATAATTCGACAAACTGTTTCGCCCTCGTCACAGCCGAAAGCATTATCCCTCGGAACTTTATACAGACACGACATCGTTATTACTTGTTTAAATTAATGGGGATGTCAATGTGGCTGCTGCGCCGATCCCGTGGATGTCACGATTAGCTTGTGACATTGGACGATTAGATCGAACCGGATCGAATATTCGCGGCGGAATATCACTGGAAATTCAGCACCGATGGCTTTTAGGTTAGATTATGCGCTAACAATAACGTCGACGGCGAAAGCTTCGATATAGCAGACCAAGTGTCAGGTCCGCTCGGTAATGGCCGCGGTAAGTCGGTAGTGTGCGCGGACGACACGAGGCTTTTTCGCCTCCGAGGTCGCGCTCGCACGCGTGGAAGGTCCTTCGTCGAAAATGGGATTCGTAAAGGAGATCCATAGGTAGATAGTGTCCCTCGGGCCCTTCATATATCCATATTTAATCGCGGCTGTATAAAACTTTAGTTCGATTCGTGTGCCCCGCTCCTCCACCCCCTAGCCAATAAATCCGAGAATCTTTCAATGTCGAGGCAGGCGTTGCGACGGTTGTTGTTGATAGGCCGATGTTGGGCTCCGCCGATAAAGCTCGGTTCAGCGCAAAAAATCGTGAAATTGATGTCCCAAAACTGTCCGACGCACCGTTCACTGGCCCACCATCGTTCAGCTCAGTTCTGTGATCTACGAATCTTTAGATTAGAAGGTCGGTTGTCGTAGCACTGGGACTAGCAGTCGTTGATGCTGTGCGTCCCATGAATATTTCGATTCAAGTAGCCGGCATCGATTAAGGAACGTGCCGAGGAGAACGGCAACCGTGTTTGCATAGAGTTCGTCGACGAGAAAGGCTCAGGCGGTGAGACGGTGGCGTGGGGTGCAATAGTAACGAAGTCGATTTGTCAGTAAATTGCATATAAATCCGTAATGGCCTATTATTCGGGTCGCATCGACATAATATAATAATACACCAACGACGGCAACGTCCCAAGTCTTTCACGTATTGCAGATATTTCCCATTGATTGCTCAGTCATTGTTATCCTTGTCAAAAATTCTACGCTCTCGGCTTTCTTTGACAGTAAAAGCAAAAGAGCGTCCTATTTGTACTCGTTCGAGCTGGATTAGCTAATCGGGGGTACAGTGTGTGAGGTTCGAGATAGAGAGATAGAGATAGAGAGATAGAGATAGAGAGAGAGAGAGAGAGAGAGAGTGAGAGAGTGAGAGAGTGAGAGAGTGAGAGAGTGAGAGAGTGAATGGCGCGCACGACCCTTACAAATACAGAATTTTTATCGAGTGTTGCGCGGCCATGCACGGACGTCTCGGGACTCGGGGGTATATATTGATTTTCGCGACAGTCGGCTGCGACGAGTCGTAATCCCAGTCGTAATCGCGATCCCAGTCCCAGCATCGTTTACGCAGAATCGACACCAACAGTCAGTCAGGAAAGACACCTTGAGCAAAATCCCTCGGGAAGGCACTCGAATGGACGAAAATTGCGTTGGGGAGGTATGGCGAACCCGACGCCGTTGCACTCCACTCGCAGTTCTCGACTGCAGGTCGGCGCGGTGCTTGCCTGACCTTCAATTATCCAAAGATCAATTAATCGATTTAAGCGATGGGTCGCCCGTTGCAAGCATTGCTTCTTTTATGCATAATGGCCAAGCAAACGATTAACGTTTAACGAAACCTTGATAAATCGTCGCCGTGGCCCTGCTACCATTGTTGCACAAGCTTTTTCCGAACCTTTTTATTAAGGATCGAGCCGAGTGTTTGGGGCAGTGTAGCTCGTAGGCCGCGTACGAGGCAATAAGGCTGGCCGTGAAAGATTTCGTTAAACGTGTCGTGGAATTTGGTTTGAGGCAGATGGTTATGTGGTGGCACGTGATTTTTTTACCGATGCCCCGTGCAATGAGCACAGCTATGAAAATGTGTGCGATGCAAAATTGCTATCGCGGACAAGCGCAATAATAATTCAACGCCAATAATATAAAAATGTCTAATTGTTTAACGCTTTTTTTATGGGATATCTAGGCAGATGTTCCCGCAGATGAAGTTCCGTGTATCGGGGCTGGATGCCAAAGCCAAGTATATCCTGTTGCTGGACATCGTGGCGGCCGACGACTACAGATACAAATTTCACAACAGGTAGAGAGATAGCGTCAGCTCGGCTTGTAAGGGAGAGATAAATGAAAGAAAGAAGAAAAGAAAGAAAGATAGAAAGAAACGAGTTGGGACAGATGGCAATTTGTCTTGGCAATTTTCAGCGGGAGGCTGTATCGATTGCCATTTTCTTCGTTGGTACGTTAAAGAGATTAGAGGCGTAAGACGAAGAGCTCTGCGCTTGCGCGAATCGTCGAATATATGGAAGCGAACGCACCGTTAAGAGAGACGCGCGACGCGGATGGATTAATGGAGGTGAATTCACAGCCGTTGTGTTTGTACGAGGAGGTGAGAGGTTTGGTTGCGTTCGATGTTGTTGTTTACATTGGATGTTGCCGTTGCTCGATCACAACGGCCAATACTAAGTTCTGTCTAAGGTCAATCGAGTGCGTTCGCTTCGCTGATATATTACGAGGTAAATGTAAAAGACTTTAAAGACCGAATGAACGAACGATCGATTATTCGGCATTCGATATCTCGGACTCGGTGACATTTGCCCAGACAAATTGCCCAACAATTTACATCATAAGCTTAGGGAGCGCCATGGTCGCAGTGCAGTCTCGATTATACTTTTAATTTAACAATATGTAATAAATGAGTGGGCGTCGGTCGTGAGAGCGATCGCCATCCCTTGAAGTTTATAAACAAGGCACGCACTAATCTCGTGGGTGTCGCTTTTGCGATTGCAAATTGTTCGCAGACGCATGTTTCCCCCGTATAAAGTGAGGGTCTCCGGATTAGATGAGCAAGCAAAGTACATTCTGCTAATGGACATCGTGGCATCGGACGATTACCGATATAAGTTTCACAACAGGTGATTATTTGATGTGATCGCGTGGCGATGGCGATTCATATTTTTGTCGCGCATCTGTACGGCATTGCGCAGAGTGAGAGAGAGAGAGAGAGAGAGAGAGAGAGAGAATGAGAGTGAGAGAGAATGAGAGTGAGAGAGAGAATGAGAGAGTGAGAGAGTGAGAGTAAGAGAGAGAGAGAGAGCGAGTGAGAGCGAGTGAGAGGCAAACATCAATGATGCGAATAAGGAGACGCGTTGAGGAGAATCCGATGCTTGTCGTTACGAAACCTGTCGGTTAGCTTCCGTGGAAATCCGAGTATCGCAATTACTCATTGAAGTGAAACATATATTTCTTGCTTCTTTTTACACAGCCACGCGGAATTTTTTTTTCTTCTTTCTTTTTTTTTTTTTTTTTTTTTTTTTTTGCATATTTTTTTTAATTTAATTTTATTTTTTTTCGATCATTTTTCTTTGTCTCAGTGCGATACTTGCAAAAATACTCTTTAGGAGCTCTCATTTTAAACGAGGCGCGCAATATGCGCTGCGAACAATTCCTCATACTTGTCGAAAATGTTAATTAATAGATATGAAAAATCATGCGTTCCATTGCAATTTGACACGGATAGTTGCCAAATGTACTTCCAGTGCATTCGGGCATCAATTCCTTATATAAATATTTTCAATCGATGCCCTTCCGCTTTATACACGAATAATTGATTAAATTGCAATTAAATCCCTGGTTCGATGCCGCTCAAGTAATTTGCAATTTCAGTAAGCAAAGTGTGGAGGTTGGGAATTAATTGTCCACGCGCTGCTAGACTAAGGCATTTTGTTAATGTCACAATGTATTAAAGTAACAAATATTTATCGTGACATTTCCAATAACGTGTACGCGTACCACCTGAAATGCCGGCAAATTACAAACGAATGCAAATGCAAAGGATATTCAGTTATTATAAGCGGTTGCGGGATTGAACATAAAATTTAGGGAAAAATTTCGACTTGTATGGGGATCGCAAAGTCGCAAAAGCCCTCGCAGGCGGCCAATGATATTCGCGTGTTGCCGACGGTGATTTTGCCGGGGCGAAACTAAGCGTTAGACGGCATTGAATCGCAGTTGGAAGGGAAATCGTCAATTGGACGAACGCCGGTGGGAGAGCTCGGCTCTCCTAATGTCACGTACGTTGTAAATAATTGATTATATTATGCTAATCTGAGCAAGAATTTTAAGATCATAAATGCTCGTTAAGGAAGGGCTGTATTTTAATTTGAAAATTGGGCCCGATTTAACGTTCAATGAAAAGATTGTTTTAGCTGTCCTCGGCAATTAATATCACTAATATCATCGACTTAATTATCTTTTGAAAAGTAAGATCACCGTCCGGCAAATATGGCGCATTGCAAATTATTATATTCGTGGATCAGGCTGCATATACGGCATCTCTCTTTATAATTTTTTTTTCTTCTTCACGTACGCGAGTCCATACATTAAGCTCTATTTTTTTTCTTCTTCTTTTTTTTTTCTTTTCTTTAAATATATATATTTTTTTATATCTCCTTTCGAATGTATTGCAAACTTTGTATTTGACGCGTGGCCCTTTATTTTTTCTATAACTTGTACATAATACACGCTACTTTTTCTTTGTTTTCTTTGTTTTTTTTTTTGTTTTTTTTTTTGTTTTTTTTTTGTTTTTTTTGTTTTGTTTTTTTGTTTTGTTTGTTTTTTTTTCATTCTTTTATTTTACCAGAAAGTAATTGTCGGGCGATATTATGCCGTCAGATGGCATAATAATTCTGAACATTATCGACTCGGGGCTACGAAAGTCCATAAATGTCATTGACAATGATAATTTACGCGTTCGTTTCACATCAAACCGGAGCGAAAGCGTCAAATACAAAGCCTCGAATCGTTAATAATCATTAAAAATTGTTTTTTTTTCTTTCCCTGTCTTGCGGTGCAGCAGGTGGATGGTGGCTGGTAAGGCGGATCCCGAAATGCCGAAGAGGATGTACATCCATCCGGACTCGCCTAGCAGCGGCGAACAATGGATGCAGAAAGTCGTAAGCTTCCACAAGCTCAAACTCACAAACAATATCAGCGACAAGCACGGCTTTGTAAGTACTGTACGTAACGCCAGTCAAAAATTTACTTACTTAATAGCTTTTAAGTTAATTATAATGCCATTACTCGTTTCTCATGATGCGCGCCAATTCTAACATCTTTTCGCATGGTGTTGCATTTGATGTTGGCTCCTTACTGAATTAATTACTCGCCGGATCGTCGGTGGCTAAGGCATCCCTCCTAACATTTAGCCTTCAACAGTTAAAATTTATTATATTATTAATGCATTTTACATCCGAATTAATTAATAACTGCCAATGAGATTATGGTTTAAAGTACTGCGATAAAAGCGCATACGCGCGGACTGCTAATTGATATTTGCCTCGGTAGGCATTAATTATTATTGCGAACGTTAATATAAGGTCTGCATTATTAAAAAGTGCAGAATTCAATGCCATTCTATAAAGCTCACGTGATACTTTATTCGGTTTAACAACAAAAATACCAGGCAGCGACCAATGAAAAAAAAGCTGGGCGTCTCTTGTAATAAAAGGGCAAGATATAATAGGCGGAAATGTTGTTGCGCAATGCGTGCGCCGTTAATAAACTCGCTACCTCTTTCTCACCCTCTCCCCCCCCCCTCTCCTCACTCTTTCTCGCTCTCTCTCTCTCTCTCTCTCACGCTCTCTCTCTCTCTCTCTTTCTCGCTCTCTCGCTCTCTCGCTCTCTCGCTCTCTCGCTCTCTCGCTCATTAGTCGTCGTTTAAACTTACGCATGATAAAGTTGAAAAGGATAAAAAAAATCGGCGAAGCATAAGTTTCGTCCCAATGCATCGTCGTGCGATTTGAAACTCGTCGCACATTTTAAGATTGTTAAGACAACGTAAGTGCAAATGCGTGGATGACGTCAGACGAGGTCAGTCGAGCGTCATCGGTAGGAAATGGGAGATGGTCGCTCGATCGATGAAGAAGTCACGTTAGCCACGACAGTGATCAGGGTCCCATGGCACTTCCGGTGCGTAGAAAATCTTCGAGGACCATCGGGAGCGGTCCTCACCTGGATACGCATTCCCATTATAGTGCCGTGCGCGTACACAAGGCGTCCACCCAGGCGTATAGGATTTTGGAGTGCGGAAGATTCCCGACACCAAATAATCCGGGATTAAGTTATCGCAGTTGGGATTTCGTCGTCAAGTAGCGCTGGCCTAGTCGCTATTAGTCTTGGCTTCCATCTTCGATTCCATCATCTCTTGTAAATCTCAGTTTTCCATTCCCTAGCCATTGGAAGCTCCTCCCTCTCTTTCTTACGCACTCTCTCTCTCTCTCTCTCTCTCTCTTTATCTCTATCTCTCTATCTCTCTATCTCTCTTTCTCTCTCTTCCTTTTCTCCGCGTGAATCCTTTTTACGGTGTAACGTCGCCGGCGTCTTTTGAAAGATCCTACATCTCTGGCTCGTGAAATATATTCCTTCTTATCCGACCCCGATGTCAGTGACTACTCACTATCCCCCCCCCCCCTCCTTACCATCGCTTCCATTCTATCCACTGCTTTAGCACACACGGGTTAGCCAGTTACTCCGTCCGTTTCAATACGCGCTTTGTGTTAGTCTAAGCTTCCTCTTTCACCCTTCCGATGCGCATGCGTTTTCATCGTTTTTTTCTCTCTTTTTTTCTTTTGCTCTTTCCTTTACAGAAAGCTTCTTTTAAATACTCGGTGACGCACGTCTTTTATACGCTAGACTCTCGATCGTAAATGCACCTAGAAGATTGTCGTGAACGCTTCTAGCCTCTTCTACGATGTCTCGATGTCGTTTTCCAATTGATTAAGTTCACTAAGCTCGTAACGAGCATTGTCCATTAAAAATTACCTTCGACTAATTTCGAATTAATAAACATTAATCGCCTGAAAGCCGGATGCAGATTAATAACCCTAGCGCTATCGAATTCTATCGATAAGCAAGTTAATCCTTCGTGCCCGATAGACTTTTAATCAACACGCGCTCAGCGTATGTCTCGCTTATCATAGCATCTCGTTAATGCAGAAACGAAGAATTTTCAAGGCGGTATAATGTTGTTGGAAGGTGAGCGTTAACAAACGAGTAGGGCTACTTACCCGAAACAAAAAAATCTTTCGTATTTGCATGGTTGCGGTCGATGCAACCTGCGTCACCCGAGTGGACGTAACCTACAATTCACTCATCCGTTCGACGTGCACGTCCCCGACATTCGTTAAGGCGCGTCCTTTGCGCGTGCATTAAAAAGGAAGACGTCATTGTAATGCACCGGGGAGCACAATATATCCCATATTTGCACGAGTCTCTTTTCTCCTCTATCTCGAGGGATATTAGAGGCGAGGCCCCGTATCTCGGCCTCTAACAAAGGCTAAGTATAAAAAAGAGGGGGCCCCGGGGGCATAGAAATGCCCAGAGAAAGACGTCGTCGGGGCAACAACCCACTTGAACCTCTCTCTCTCTCTCTCTCTCTCTCTCTCTCTCATACTCACTCTCTATCTATGACTATCATACACTCGTTCGTGTTTTCTTTTTCTCAATGCGCGCATGCGCGCCGGATCTATCGTCGGACTTAAAAGGGGGGCCTTACAAGGCGGGACGAGATATGCGGGCGCCGAAAAAGCCCGGCCGACTAATAAGCGCGAGACGGCTTTTCACCTGGCGACAGCCGCGACACCGCAGAAAAGGGAAAGGGTAACGACGCTCACGCACGCGGGCACACACGCGAGAAGGTGGAAGCCGAGAAAAAACAGTGTATGTTGCACGCACGCACAAGAGTGCGCGCATCCCCATATACCGGTCCAGCGGTGTTGCAAGACCGGCTGCTTTCTAAAGAAAGCTGCTGCTACTGCTGCCGCTGCCTGCCGTCGCCGTTGTCGTCGCCGTCGCCGCTACTTTTATAATACGAGTGTGCGTCTCTATCATGCGACACTCGTACATACAGGCAAACAAATATATATATATATATATATATATATATAT